AACCAACTAATAAGTTCATCTTCTTCTAAGTTTTCCTCTTCGTTGTCATCTTCTAATAAATATTGCCATGGTTCTTTGTCTTCATCACATTTGACATATAACAAACGCAAATTAAGCATTGTTTTAACTAGATGACATATTGATATTCGTTTTTCTACAGAGATGTGAAGTTCTTCACATTGCATAACAAGAGGTGAATGACTCAATTGCACACATTCCTCTTCATTGTATGATGTACTGTATTTTCGTAGATCGAGTCGTTTTATCGATGTATTCTTGACTTTTAATGATAGAATTTCGATAGATATGTGTATACCTATGCATGAAAAATCTAAGAACGATAGATGGGATGCATGAGAAAGTAAGTGTTCAAGTTGAATTTTAGATTGTTCACTATTATCACATGATCTTATCTTGCATGAAGTTAATTGATTTAATGCTGGAACCATTGACCAGAAGTGATCATTGACAGGAAATGTTATTTCCAAGTTGTCTAGTTTGTAAAATTGCATATCAGATAGTTGAGAGTATTTTGTAGGTTTAACATGATATTCTAAATGACGTACAGCATCGTATGACTGTTGAGTCTTCTCTTGAGACCAAGTTGATTTTCCAAATTCTTGTTTATAAACACGAAATTTACCAAAAGCATATGGTAAAGTATAAAGAGAAAAACTTCCATCAATTGGATCCCAATTACATCGTACAAACCAATTATGTTTATCACGCCAAAATGGAGTTTGAAATGTATTGAGTAATTTATCAACTTGTTTTTCAAAAATTTCACCCCTTCTAAATCGACCTGATATATGAAAATGAAATCTTTTTAGTTTAGGTAAATGGTTTGAAATGATTCGTTCCCATATATGCCTACCGATGTAATTATCATACTTCACTTTTAATCGAGACAGATTGGGCATCCATCGGAACATATTCAGTAAATCACATTCACAAACACTTAGCGATAGCTCGAAAGAAGTTATTGATAGAGCAGGTGAAGTTAAGAATTGGTGAGGACAACGGAAGAAAAAGGAGGATGAAAAATGTTGAAGATTTGGTGTTCTTTCACACAGATGATCCAAGTCAAAAGACAAATTATCAACATTCAACATAAACAGGTGTGTAATACTTGATGATGTCATAGTTGTCTCTATATACACCCTATAATCAAATTGATTTGCAGAGCTTCTGTCAAAATAACAGTGGGTTAGATTCGGTAAACTCCATATACAATTTGTTAAAGGCAAGACTGTTGATAGATTTCTTCTCTCATCTTCTATCAAAACACAACATTTAAGGATCAAATGAGTAAGATTCATTAAGTGAGGTAATGCCAAAATGATTTTGCCCGTTAACTGTTTATAAGAAAGATAGCTTAATGAAAGTGATTTCAATTGAACAAATCGATCAAGTGTAAAACCATGAGTATCTAATCGATGAAGTGGTCGAGAAGATCTCATCTTATCACATAAATTTAATGAAGGTATTTTATCGATCAAAGTTGGAAGATATTCTTGACAGATTGTGACGAAATCATTGGAATAAAATGATCGAAAATCGATACCGAAAATGATAAAATGATGAACAAGAAGAGAATCAAATCGAGAATTGAGACCATGAAATGCATGAAAAAGATAATCGGTACGTACGAATTCAAATAAATAAAGTATTAATTCGTTAGCTAATGATTCGAAATTCATTTTTTCTGTATTTGTTTTCTATTCGTCAGAGCACAAACGGATCAACAATGTTGTATATATATAAAGTACCTGAAAGAAAATTCAATTTTCAATCATCATATCATGTTTATCATTAACCTATATATATATATATGACCTAATAAAATATCCTTAAATAGTGAATTTTTCTTTGCAATAATGATATCTTTTCGTTCGTATATTCTATTATCAATCGAATATATGATTTTGTTTTGTAGATATATTGAATTTTGATGAAACTTTAGTTAAAAATCTTTCTTATGAAGTTGTTTTTAGTGAAGTATAATCAATGCAATGATATCTGCTACGGAATCATTTTCTCTGCAGACAAACGAAGAATAGAATGCGTAATACTTACAAATGAGATATTACTAAATATGTATAAGCCGTTTGATAATGTTAACTATAAAGAAAGAAGAGAATGTAAGGATAGTATAACCAAGTAACCCTATTTATTTCTTTGATTCTTGCAAATGTCAAGTTGTTTTGTGTTGCTTGATATAGAAGATCGATAAAGCAGTCGTGGTGGGACGAAAAAACATTTCTTGTTATGCTGGAACATACAATCAACAAAAACAGTTTGCCATTCAATATTGTTGACGTACATAAAGGATAAAAATTGATGATAATACTATTTCAGGTCATCATATCATAGATGAAACTTTATGCACTAGTACTAGAATCTTTAGTTAAGTGAGATCGAAAATTTTACAATATTTATTTATTTTAAGGCTAACTGATCTCCAGTCTATTTGCTACATCTAGCGAATAAATAAAATCTCATAAAAAATACATAATGATAAATAATTTTGAAATTCACGAAATGTATAAAGTGATTTACCCTATAATAACAATTTTGTTTACGAAATATAGTGCCTTTGAATATATATATAAGCAGACTGAGAAACGTTATATAACACTATCGTATACAGTTATAGTCGTCAGCAAAATAAATTCATATATTTTTTTTATTGAGTTACTGATTAAAATGCATGATAAAATTCTTCCTTTATTTGGTGCATTGATGTACTGAGTACTTCGATGTACGTTTCGGATGGTAATAAAGATACAAGCCATGTGAAAGATTTTTTGGAACCGATAGAATGAAGTAATCACGTAATCATCCGAATAATGAAAAAGCCATTCGCGAAAAGGCGTCGAAATTTTAACGAAAATAAAATCACAATATTGTGCGTTTTTCATGATTTTTGTTATCCGTCGACATGTGTAATGCATTTTTACGCGTTCAGCTTTTTGACTTTGCTTAAAGTATAATCAAGAGAAATTCTTCTTA